ATTTTTCACTACGTTTGTGGTGTTCATCCAATACTGAAGCTAGATTTCTTTGGCATGACATTGATTTTTGTCTTGTTGGTTTTTTTTTTTCCCTCTAGAAATGTTTGAATATTTGGAAAAGCTGAGGAGTAATTTTACTTTTATAATTAGACCTGATTTTCGTGCCACTAAATGATTAAATTCATAGTAAAAATAGAAATACAAAAAAGTAGATCCTGTAATTATTATGAAGTTGAAAACCTCTATTTCCTTTTGGAAATTAAAGGTAGATCTCCCAAAGCAGCAGATACATTTTTGACATCTAAAGCTATAAATTTATCATTTATTCCCTTTATTTAAATGAAAAATAATATTCATTTCTTTACAGTTACACACAGAGAAAAAGAAAAAGAAAAGGCCAGAGGAAAAGAAAAGGAAAAAGGAAAAGACAAAGAGAAGCCTGAAAAGAAAGGTATGGTATTACACATATAGACGCTTTTACACACTGGTTCCTTCTCTGTTATTGCCCCTTTGTTAAATTTGAATTTTGGTTGACCCTTTTCTTAGCTTCTTAATGCTTCTGTAATAGAAGTACTGCAACTAAAGAGCAAAATGTATTTCCTTACGGTTTAGGAGGCTAAAAGTCTAAATTTAGGGTACCAGCTAAGATGGAAGGCACTTTCTCTATCACACTTGTGGAAGACCCTTTTCAGTTTGTATAGCCCTCAGAATGCCTAGTTGTTGGAAATCTACATTCTGTGCTTGCTTGTCTGTGTCTCTGTTGCTCCTTAAACATCCTCCATTGATGTGGCCTCATGAGCATAATAAATAAAATGCTATTTCTAAATTAGATTATATCCGCAGGTAGAGTATTAGGATTCCAACTCATAGTTTGTTGCTTTTGTAGTTGTTAAGTGATATTGGACTGGTTCTGACTCATAGTGACCCTGTATAGAGTTTACAAGGAGCAGTTGGTGGTTATGATCTGCCAACCTTATGGTTCGCAGTTCAGTGCTGATCCTACAGCGCCACACTGTAAGTTCAATAAACACTTTAAAGGGACAAAATTCAGTCCATAAAAGGCATATATTTCTTTTTATTTAAATTGCATCATGATTATTTCCTTAGATTATAAAATTTGATTCATTAACATTTATGAGGCTAATACGTTGATATTTTATTTCACTGTTTTTTGTTTGAATCTTTATCTGAAGATTAAATTTAGTAGTCACCAATGTGGTCCTGCAGGATAAGCACTGGACTGCTAATCCCAAGATTTTGCAGTTCAAACTCACTAGTCGATCCTAGAAATCCGTATACAAGGTCGGTATGAGTCGGAACCGATATGACAGCACTTAACAACAACAACAATATTTTCCTCAAGTGTTTGTTTCAATGGGTTTCTTAATTTACATTTAAACTAATTTTATCAAACATTGATTTCAATGTATGGTGCCTAATTAAAGAACAAATGCTGCTGGCATTTGTAGAGTTATTGAGAGAGTATTTTTAAGTGGATCATAACTAAGATATTTGGGTCACTTCTCTGCTGATTTGAGTGTCTGGTTTGTAGAATCTGCTGACTTTTCTTGTTTTGTGAAATATTCCACTTTGGTTGAAGGTTTTATGATATTTAGGGAATCCAAAGAATTGAAACATGCTTCAATCTTCTTTACTATTCTTTAAAATTTGAGAATTTGAATTAAAAAAATGTTTTATTAATGTTTAGTTATTAATAGTTTTAGTGCATTTCTTTTATTTTGCATTGCTATTCTCCAATATAAAATCTGTAAATGTTGAAAAACAGTGTATGAGGGGGCCTCAAAAAGTTCATGGAAGAATGGAATTAAAGACAATGGAATTTTTCCACGAATGTTTTGAAGGCCCCTCATATGTAGATCTGAGAAATTACCAAGTCATAAATTAAAACATATTATAATTATCAGAAGCACATGCTATTGTATGTCTCAGAACTTTGTTATCTAAACTATTGAGAGACATATATTTTAATGTGACTAAATGAATAAATAAAATAGAAGTTAATAAAATAAGTTAATAATGATTTATTAGCTTATTAAAAATAATGAGAAGGTATTATGTTCCTTATAGTTATGAAATACTGTAATACAATGAAGAAGCTACATTCAATCAGTAATTTTTTCTTTTATATATGTATATAATAATGAAAGTTAATTTATATATACACAAGGTCTATAATAATGTATACGCTCAACTCCTAGAGTCCTGGTGTGGCTTTGTGGGTTAATGCGTCAGACTGCAAATTCATTTGAACTGCAAGGGCGGTGGTTCAAGCTCACCAGCTGCTCCTTGGAAACCTTATATAGTATTGTTATGGGTCAGAACCAACTCAATGGTATTTAGCAACAGCAACAACAAATGCTAAGCTCCTAAGGTGAGTCTCAATTTCCTTGGGGAATACTTGAAAAGTTTTAGTTGATTTGGGGCAGAGGTCAACAATCATTCAGCGAATAGGACCCAGTATGTCCATCCAATTTTTCAATGCATAAGATAGCTATTTATGCCAAGTGTGCTTCTGTTGAGAAATATTGTGATTAGCTGAATCCCTATTGTTGTTGTGTGCTTCAAGCCAATTCCTTCATATAGGATTTCTGAGACTGTAAATCTCTATGGTAACAGGAAGTCTCATCTTTCTCCCACATTGTTGTTGTTTTTGTTAAATGCCGTTGAGTCAGTTCCAACCCACAGCAACCCTATGTAGGGTTTCCGAGGAGCGGCCGGTGAGCTTGAACTGCCAACTTTGCAGTTCAAACCAACTTTGCAGTCCAGTGCATTAATTCACAGTGCCATACCAGAAGTGCTAGTGAATTTGAACCACTGATCTTGTGCATAACAAACTAAGCCACCAGAGCTCAGATGATTCCCTAGTCTTGGTTTCAATATTTCCTTTTATTAATCCTAAAGAGGGCTCTCTTCCCTGATATAATATGTCTTTTGGACACATTCTTATAAGGTTCCTTGTCTCCATTTGTCATTTCTAAAACCTTTATTTATTTTAAATAATAGTCTCAAAAAGGAGGATGGATTTAGGTTTCAAAATTCATTCAAGTCATAATACCAAGTCTTTTAAATTCTGTTCCTTATAGTTATCACTCCATTGATATCACTATATTCCTAAATTAGGTTCATCAGAGTCATACATCTTCAAGATAATCTATGATGTCAAAGCCTATAAAAATTAGCTAAGGAGAAAACTTCATCTTGATTTCTAATAAAATCATATACTAATGTAAAATTTTTTTTCTCTTTAAGCAACTAGCAAGGAAAAAAATGAGAAAAAAGAAAAACCAGAAACAAAGACAGTGGCAAAAGGTAACTTTTTATTATCATTTTCGTTACTAAATTATTTTTACTTTGAAAGAAAACATTTTAGGTGACAGGTAGCCAGATGATTGTAAGCCTTTAGTGTTTTATGTACATAAGAATTCAGTTTGGTTTATACTTAATTTTATATCTAAAAAAACTATTAAAATTGACTAATTGAAATAGTTGTTGTAATTAGGTGTTGTCAAGTCAGTATCAACTCATAGTGACTTTTGCACAATAGAATGAAGCACACTGCTCCTTCTGAAATATTAGAATGTTTAAAAAAAATGAAGAGTTTCACTATCTGAAGGGCCTCAAAAAGTGCATGGAAAAAAAAATGTTTTCTTAATTCCATTTTCCCACAAACTTTTGTAAGCCATCTCATATATTGTAAGAAAATGTTGGCTTTCATGCCTTTCACCATTTGTTATGGAGGGATTTTGCAGAAGTATTTAAATTTACTATCAGTTAATCCAAAATAGGGAGAATATTCTGGATTATCTAATTGGCGTCAATATAATCACATAAGGTAGCGTAGTGGTTACGAATCGGGCTGCGAACCTTAAGGTCAGCGGTTCGAAACTACCAGCCGCTCCGCGGGAGAAAGATGAGGCTTTCTACTCCCGTAAGGATTTACACCCTCGGAAACCCTGTACAGGGTCGCTATGGGTCGGAACCGACTCGACGGCACTTAACAACAACAACAACAAACTTTGTTTTATGTTTTTTGAAGAAAAAACTTTTTAATGGCATAATTATTCTATTCCTTGTTAAATGAATTGATAAGATAAAACTGATTTTTTTTTTAAAGAGAAAAAGCTGTTTTTTTCCCCTAATTTGTTTCACCAAGGAATTAGAGTTCAGTTAGTTATTCAGTTTATGGTGGATATGAAAGTCTTAAAAAATTAGGGGCCCCAGGTGAAAGTAGAGTTTTGTATTTATAGGACTGTCCTCCATTTCTTCCCTCAATTAATTCCACACCTAAAAGGTACTGCTTTTATGTGGCAATTTCAGTCTTTCTTGTTAGGAAACAAGAAGTTCCTTTGAAAAATTAAACTAAAAATTTCTTTGGAAACTTTTCAGGTCCTTACTCAAGTTTTCTCTGTGGAAATTTCCTGGTTGGGGAGGAACTGGGGGTATGTTCTAGCAGGAGTTAGAATAACAGGCATTTTTTGTTTTGTTAAGTGCCATGGAGTCAGTTCCCACTCATACAGAGCCCATATAAGGTTTCCATGGAGCGACTTGTGAGTTTGAAACACCAACCTTGTGGTTAGCAGCCCAGTTATCCTACAGCACCACACCAGGACACCCAGGATAGTACAATTAAAGTGACTTTTTGTGTGCATGTGAGTATGTATATGAAGAAAAAACGAGAAGAAAATTTGACAACATACTAATCAAAGTTGTGTTCTTTATAAACAATTACGTAAAGTTTATTTTTTTCTTCTATTTTTTTCTTTAATGAGTTTTTGTTTTTTAGTATAGTGGATTGTGAACTGGGCTGCTAATTGCCAAGTCATCAGTTTGAATCTACCAGTTGCTCTTTGGGATTCTTGTAAGGATTTACAACCTCAGAAACCCTACACAAGGTTGCTATGAGTCAGAACTGACTCAATGGCACACAACTACCACAAAATATAGATATGTTTGGAGTCCTGGTATGACACTGTAGCATAAGCATTGGACTGCTTACCGTAAGGTTGATGATTCAAACCCATGCTCTTCGGACAGACTATATAGGTCTCTATGAGTTGGTACCAACTCATCTGAACTTAACAACAACAAAAACAAATTTGAATATAACATGCTCATCTGATTTAAATATAAGATGCTCATGACACTGTAGAGATATAGCATAAGTACTGGACACCTAGCAACAAGTTCAACTGTTTAAACTCATCAACTGCTTCTCACAAACTGTATATCAGAACAGACACACCAGCACTGAACAAGTCTATGTGAAAGTTATTATTAGGAAATGTAAGGGAATTATCTTGTCTTGTTAGCAGTAAGGATTAGTCCATTGTGGAGGCTGAAAGATACACTGGAGTTGGAGTTGTTTTCTGTGGAAGAAAGTCCATTACAGAACAGGTCAGCTCAGAAAGTACACTCAAAATTTGGCCTAGTTCAGTTGTTCAGGCCTTGAAGTACATGATCTACTATCTAAATCTCTTGTAACTCATGAGAACTAAAGAACTAAATGCATACCTAACCGTACTCCCAATCTACCATATTAGAAAAATAAAAGAAAATTTAGGACTCGATACACAGTCAGGCAAAATGTTGATTTGATGTCAGTTTGTCATACTGTGGTGGCTTGTGAGTTGCTGTGATTCTGGAAGTTATGCCACAGGTATTTTAAATACCAGCAGGGTCACCCATGGAGGACAGGTTTCAGATGAGCTTCCAGATGAAGACAAACAAGAAAAAGGAGTGATGAGCTACTTCTGAATATTTAATCACCTTATGAATAGCAGAGAATCACTGTCAGATATAGTGCCAGAAAATGAGTCCCTCAATTTGTAAGGCACTCAAAATGTGTCTTGGAAAGAGCTGTCTCCTCAAACTAGAGTTGATTGTGATGACACGAATGGAGCAAACTCTGTGGGAGTAAAACCCACAGAACCTTCATTTGCTGATGGGGAACAACTCAAAATGAAGAGAAACAGCTGTAAACATTTGTTAATAATCAGACATGGAATGTATGAGGTATGAATTTAGGAAAATTAGAAATTGCCAAACATGAAATTATATGCATAAATATTGATATCTTAGGCATTGGTGAGTTGAAATGGACTGGTATTGGCCATTTGAATCTGATTACCACATGGTTTACTATGCCAGGAATGACAAATTAAAGAGGAATGGTGTAGTACTCATAGTCAAAAATAACATACCCAGATCAGCCTTGAGGTAAAACACTGTCTGTAATAGGATAATATCCATGCATCTACAGGGAAGATCAGTTAATACGATTATTATTCAAATTTACGTACCAACCACTAAAGCCAGTGAGGATGAAATAGAAGAATTTTACCAACTTCTTCAATCTGAATTTGATCCAACATGCAATCAAGATGTATTGATCGTTAGTGGTAATTGGAATGCAAAGTTTGGGAGCAAAGAGGAAGGGTCAGTACTTGGAAAATATGGCCTTTGTGATAGGAATTATGCTAGAGATTGCATGATAGAATTCTGCAAAATCAATGATTTGTTCATTTCAAATACCTTCTTTAGATAGCACAAGAGACGATTATACACATGGAACTCACCAGATTTAATACACAGAAATCAAATTGGTTACATCTGTGGAAAGAGATGATGGAAAAGCTCTATATCACCATTCAAAACAAGTCCAGGGACAGATTGTGAAACAGACCATCAATTGCTCATATGCAAATTCAAACTGAAGCTGAAGAAAATGAAAACAAGTCCACGAGAGCCAAAATATGACCTTGAATATAT